GCCGTCCGTTGCCAGTGATGCCTAACAGATCACAAGTATGAAGATATCATTAGGATCCAACTTAGTCTTTACTCATGCAGTGTCTTGCCTCCTTTGATGATTTGTTTAGAGTAATTCATGAGATGGAGGCCCCTCAGCTGGGTATAAAAGCAGACCTGGGCAAAAAGGCTATAAAACCACAGTCTGACCCATCGTCTGTCAAACCTACATACACCCTCCAGCCTCTGACATGATGCAGTGTTGTTGTGGCCCATGCTGCTGCCAGCCATGCTGCTGCCAGACCACCTGCTGCAGGACCACCTGCTGCCGCCCCTGCTGCTGCCAACTCTGCTGTTGTGGGTCCAACTGCTGCTAGACCACCTACTGGAGGAACAGCCTACCTAGGGTCTCCTGATCCTGGAAAAGATGCCCTCGTGCTTCATGCTCTTGTGCATCCTGCCCTGCTCTTCTCTTACAGCCTCAAATGTTCCTTGTGTAGAGCAATTGTTCCCATACCCACACCCAGGTCCACCCTTCAAAAAGTCTGTCCATCTCTTCCAGGCAGCCAGGAACCAACAAGTGATCACCCTACAACACCTCAGCAGGATATAAAAAGACATGTGGGCAAGGAGACTCCCAAATCTTCCAATCAATCAACCTTCATCCAAGCAAATCTAGAACCTCCAATTTGTAAAACCAATGTCAAACTCTGTTGAAGATCACTGCGGTGTCGATGCGTCTGCCAGAGCACCTGCTGCCTGACTACCTGTTACCAGACCACCGCTACAAGACCACCTTCTTTAGAACACAGTCTCTGATGTACCTGGGATGAAATGGGACACAAATTATGCTACCCACACTCCTGACTGCTTGCTATCTCTAAAATGTACACTACTTTGGATCTTCTCTAGAGTCTTTGCAATATCACTTCATAGTCATGGAACTATTTGGCCTTGGCAATGTTTTCAAAAGGCAATGTCCACCATTCACAAATAAATCTAAATTTTCAAAGCATATAAACAATAAGCCATCATGCTTTCTGTTAAATTTTTTGGTTTTTTCTATCTATATTTTTATTTCCTCTCTACACAAGGAACAGACTCCAGCAGTTAACTTCTGAAACATCAGCTTTCTATTAACTTCTGAGTTTTTCTCTTAATACAGAAGGTGCTTTAATGGTCCACAAGCATGAAACTTGCTCCATAAAGACTCTCTTTGAAAGAAGTTGAAGCTTAAATAGTGGAGTCAAAGTCTCTGGTGCAGAACACCCAAGCAGTGAGAGTGTTGTTGAGAAACATTCTCTTATTTCTATTCCCTTGTATCCAAATGTATTCTCCAAAGTCACAAAGACAATAAGTGACTTGGCACCCTTATGTCTCCAGGCTTGACCTGCTCATTATAGAACTCTTTGCTGGCTTGCCTCTCTGCCCTCAATTACGCTCTAGGTCCTCAAAAAATGTTCTCCAATTAGTTCCTGACTGAACTTGCTTACTGCAACCGCAACCTTCAGAATTGTGTCTACTCCTTTGGTCATAGATTTTTTTCTAGATACTCACAGTCCTGATCTCAATATTGCCACCATTGAAAAAATTTTCCATAATATGTGGGGCATGCCATGGTATCGACATTCATTTTGGAATTGTTGTCCCTTAAAATGGTAAGTTTTTAACATATGTCCTTGCATTTTCATTCTATTTTTCTGAACAATTTGGATTATTTTTGTTGTCAACAATAGTTTGGTGACTTAATTTTCAATGATGATAGTACTGAATGCTCATATTACCAAGAGTAGAAATTAGCATCACAAAATAGTAGAAATTGCAACCATAAATGCATATTTTGCATATATCCCACAGGTAGCATATACCTGCTCACTTCTACTTGTCTAGTTTCTCTTCTCAGTTGTCATTCATACTTTCTTCCCATTTATAACATTTTTCTCTTTCAGTGGCATGTGTGCAAGTGTGCAATACTGTGAACATGTATGTGTGTGACACATATCTGGCAAAACATTGATAATTGTATTTCTGACTTTGGCTGTTTTGCCTATTGTGACAATTTCTACTTCTATTCATTTTCTTACACATAGATTGGCTATATTCTTGATATATAAATAATGCTCCACTGTCCATATGTTTCAGCTGATAATATATCCATGCATATATAGACTCTGTTTAGCCTGCCTCTATGATTCCATATTGAGAAGTGCTACAGAATACCTAGATATATAAGGGTCCCTCTTGGTTTTATTTTATTCCTTTGAACATAAAATCTGAAGCAACATAGCTGGATCTTCTGACAGTTTTAGTTTAGTTTTTGAGAAAATTCCATGCCTCCTCTGGTCAGGGCTATTGCTTGCATGGGATCCTGGATGGTAGGAAGTGGAGAACGCAAGCTGGACAATAGCTTTTATTGCTTTCTGATTCCTCAGCTGCTGCAAAGTCTTCCCACCCCCATGTCCTACTGTGATTGACTATCCCAGAATATCCCTCTGTGAGGGCTCTTTTCTGATTACTATACTGCAGTACCCAGAAGAGAAGCTCAAATCTGGAAATTTCCAACATCTTGGTTTCTCTGTCCTTGCTGTGCTATCTATGTTCTATATGTGGTTAGAATATCTGCACCTAAGAACTTCAAGACCACCATAGTGCGTCATCTAATGCTTAATATATTCTTTCCATCTCTACTGCACAGTGCTATTCCAACTGCAAACCCCAGAACTGTCTACTGACATTTGAAGCCTAGAAAAACATTAGCAGGGGTAAATTTCACCCTAGGGAACATGAATGTCTCTTGGGGTATCCTCACCTCTGAAAAATCAACTTCATTATCCACAGAGTCTGAATTTATGCAAAGAAGTTTGCATCTTTCCAAATGGTGGCTGAGAATTGAGCTTAAACTTTTATGCACTAGCTTCTTCTATTCAAATTCTGTACATAACTTGGTATCTTTTTATTAAGGGAGAGGAATCCAAATAGAATCCATATATATATATATATATATATATATATATATATATATATGAGTTTATATATGAGTTGCCAGTCCACTCTCTACTGCACAGTCGAGACACCAAGAATTTGTTCTAAGTCACACTGCATATGTATTTTATCAACTGCTGTTGCTAAGTCACTGGGAGTATTGACTTTGTCTGTCTCCAGCCATCTTCTTTACGTGGGTCTTAACACACAGGTACATAGGGCAGATTAACAATCCCTACATTGTCATGCCTTGGAAGGGAGCTCTAGTATACAATATTTATTTTGTACCTCACCTGGAGTATAGGGATGAAGGTTAGATTGTTTCAAGGGTTTCATGTGGATTTTCTGTTGTATAGTTTTTACTCTACAGCTCAAGGGAAGGAGTTCATGGATTTCACACATACGGACTGAGAAAATTACCTTCAGGTACTCTGGTTGACACAGTGGAGAGACTATGAGGGTGAAGTGGGAAATACACATTTGTTTTCTGACTATCACTTTGTGTGAACTCTGATCTACTCCGTACCAGCCTCCAAATGCACATGCACTGTTTCCCTGGAGATGATTATAATAAAGGAGTGAAGGAATTATTACTGTATACAACACTTGAGGTCTTTTAACTTGGGAATCTGCCCTGTTGACAGCTGATGTGTCACAGGCCTAAATACCATGGCGGGACTGGATTCCAGAGGAAGGATGGGCACTTTCCAACTCGGCTCATGCCCTTGCTCATTGACCTTCAATCCCTTGATTTCTGTTTTAAAAATTATTTCTTTTATTTCTTGAGATTCTATTATTATTACAGAATTTTCCTTTACCTATCCTCCCTCTAAACCTTCTCCTATATCACCCATTTCTTCTTTTCAAATTTATGGCTTCCTTTTTTCATTATTGCTGTTACATGTATGTTGCATGTGTGTGTTGTACACGCACGGTAGACACACACATAAACACATATATAAGTACAATATACACAGTCGGTATAATGTTACTTGCTTATGTTTTCAGGTCTTACTAACATAACTACCTAAACATGAGCTAAACAAAGACAATAGTAATAGACACGTTTATTGTTTAAGTGAACAAAGGGATGCACATGGGGCCTCAACCCTCAACAAGGAGCTATGAGAAACAGAGGAATGCTGATAGTAAGGAGAATAGTCTCTCCCAGGGAAGAGCACACCAATTGGTTATCCAATACTATTAATACCTTTCAATTATGCATATATGCATGCATATAGCCTCCTATAGATACAGAGTCGTGGCCATACCAGTTTTGTCCATATTCATCTGTTGTGAGGAACATAAATATTCTATTGATACACATTCAACCCTCTTAGTTACATACCACCCTGCCTCTGCTGCCATTTCTGACTTGCGGTGCATAAATCATCATCTCTACATTCATTCCTCTTCTTAAGTGATGCCCCCTGGACTGTGATTCTCTACAAAGTTACCATGCCTTCAGCCCTAGCCAGCTAAGATCTGCAGAAACAGTCACATTAACAAGAGCCGATAACAGAGCCTGTGCCAATGCATTCCTGTTCCAAGCCACTGGTCTTTCTGTGCTCACCTGACCCATTATGCATGAGCCATCAGTGTAAAGTACCTGTATCTTCCAGGGTCACCAGAGCAATTAAAATAAAGCATGTGACTGCTTACGGGGAAGGAAGAGGTGCCAAAAATGACACTGAAACATGGAGACCAGGACATCAAATGTCAGGTGACAGCTCTCTTGAAAGAAATTAAAAGGGGAAAAAAAGCCACTTAGGAGATGGTTCAGGAAGAACTGACAGTGAGCACTAACATGCTAGGAAGGAAATTATCCATTCACCTTAACAGTGCAACCAGGAAAAGAAACTCTCCTAATTTGATAATCACGTATTAATTAACCTAGATGATAGCAAGGAAAGAATGATGCACGTGAGAACAGCAGCCCCTCAGTGGGGTATAAAAGAGGATGTGGGCAGGGAGACTCCCACTTCCAAATCTTCCAACCCACCATCTTTAAACCAACCCAGAACCTCCACCTCTGACACCATGGTCAGCTCCTGTTGTGGCTCTGTCTGCTCTGAGGAGGGCTGTGGCCAAGGCTGCTGTCAGCCCAGCTGCTGTGTGTCCAGCTGCTGCAGGCCCACCTGCTGTGTGTCCAGCTGCTGCAGACCCAGCTGCTGTCAGTCTGTGTGCTGCCAGCCCACCTGTTGCCGCCCCTGTTGCTGCCGCCCCAGCTGCTGCATTTCCAGCTGCTGCAGACCTTCCTGCTGCCACCCCTGTTGCTGCCGCCCCACCTGTTGCATTTCTAGCTGCTGCAGGCCTTCCTGCTGCAGCCCTAGCTGCTGTGTTTCCAGCTGCTGCAGGCCCTCTTGCTGCACCTCCAGCTGCTGCCGCCCCTGCTGTAGCAGTTCCAGCTGTTGTGGATCCAGCTGCTGCCTCCCCAGCTGCTGCATTTCCAGCTGCTGCAGGCCTTCCTGCTGCCGCCCCAGCTGCTGCATTTCTAGCTGCTGCAGGCCTTCCTGCTGCCACACCACCTGTTGCCGCCCCACCTGCTGTGTGTCCAGCTGCTGCAGACCCCAGTGCTGCATCTCCAGCTGCTGCCGCCCCACCTGTTGCCAGACCTCCTGCTGCCGCCCAGCATGCTCTAGCTGTTCCTGCTGCTGAGTGCTCTCACTCCCAGTCTCCCGTTCTTCATCACCCACCATTCCAGATGTAGACCCCCTCTGAGCTAAATCCCAAAAGACTGGGGTATTAGATCTTGATTTAGGCTTCACAATGCACTTACTCTCTTTTCTAATCGGATCTTTCTCTCTCTCATTCTCTCACTCTCAAACAAAACAAATTTGGCTTTTCTCTCAAATCTAGCACATTCCTCCCACTCTGATATTTATTTTGTCTCACTTACATTAGAATAATATTTTTATATATTAAATAAAACTTAATTTAGACATCCAAATGTAAATGTGTCATATCTCCTTATTTCTCCGTAATTACTCTCAGTTCTCAATTTACTTTTAGCTTTTTATAAAATAACAAAAAACCGCTTAGCAGATTAATTTACCTGTGCCCTCAGTTTTCTGTGTGCCTGCTGCAATTTAGGAAGTATTTTCTTGGAGCACCTGTTTGGTTCTCTCTATCAGAGGCTTATCTGGGCAAGAGGGTTGAACCATGGAACCCAGAGCAGGTGGAGGAGGACATTCGTAAGCACATGCTCCCATTCACACTCACTGATCATGTTTCAGTCCCGTGTTCTCAGGTGGGAGTGAAAGCCAGTCCCATCCAGTCGTGTCCTGCTCACAGGGGCTCTGCACTGACTTCCTTCCATCCTGACCACATGAAGTACCCCATCTCAGAGCCCGTCTCCTGAGTCTCAGTGTTGCTGGCCTTGTTCACATTTTCACATAACATGGGTGGTCCCCATGTATGCTGTGACCTTTGGACCACTTGCCGCTTAACTACATATCTTCTTTCATTTTTCTCTCTCATGGTTTATACTGTTATTTTCTTTGATTATCTTTGTCAGTTTTGTCTACATACTGTAACTGAGCCCTAGAGAATAGTGTCCATGGCAGTAACCCTCTAGAGGAGCCTATGTTTAACGGGAAGCCACCCCATGGTGTGTGAGCTATGTGGGATTCACTAAAGCACAGCCAAACCCAGGGATTTTTAAAAAAGAAAAATCTAATAAGGAAATTCTCTTGAACACAATCTGGCAGACAGTCATAGAAGCAGGTCAGATTCCTAGAAACTGCTAAGCCCAATTATGACACCAACAAGGCTTACCTTTCTGGATGCCAGCAGGGTCTGAAGAATGAATGTCTCTCCTGGGATCTAGGTGGCTCAACCTTTGCTCTGTTGCTCAGTGTCACTACCTTCGGCCTCCACAGTGTTGGGTAAGAAGTGCATATGGAGCATAAGCCTCCTACTGATGGCTCTTCCATCCACTAAAGACAATTACCCAGAGAGCAGAAAGTAATTGCCTTCTGCCTCACATTAGGATGTGGCCCAGGCATCTTTCTTGGATTCTTTGACACACCAGAGCAGAAAGGAGGGGGTGAAGTTGGGTGTTTACAGAGGTGGGAAGTATCAGGGAAAAGTTGTAGGAGAGGAATGAATATTTTCAAAATGTATTGTATGAAAATATTTTTGAAACAAAAACTAAACATCCAAAAGCAGTATTGGAAAGAGAGAGAATGGGACATTGCCATAATACTAACTACACAGATGAATTGTTTGCCACTGTTTAAGGATGTGGAAAATGTAATGGTCTGTCCTGTCCCTTTAAGAGACAAGCCATGGCCACTCTATCTCCCATCCAACAAGGAAAGCTGATATCCAGCTTCCAGCCTGAGTCCTTTCCATTTCTGTTTCTCTCTCAAAGAGGAAGCTTCTGTCTCTCCCCTCTCCCTACATCTCCCCTCCCCCCCTCTCTCCCTGTTTTTGTGCTCTTCCCACTTCTCCCCTTCCCCTCCATAACCCACTAAATAATTATCCAACTTCACACTGCATGGTGTTCCTATCCATCTTAGTCTCTCACTAACCACATGGCTTCCTGCCTGAGACCAGGCTGCCTTTGTTACCTGCCACGGTCTCGGAACCCACTGCCTGCTGCCTGCCACTGCTCAGATACCTGTGGTATGGTCTCACGTCCCACTGTCCATTGCCTGACACAAGGGACCATTCCATTTTTACTTAAAACATAACCTTGGTGATGTTGTACTCAGTAGGCCCTCCCACTTCTCTCCCAGGGTCTAAATCTGGAACTGGGTATTTTTCTACAACGACGTCATGTTCTGTCTGCCTGAGCACTGCCCTCTAAGCACACCAGCAGCTTCGGTGGTGATTTCCTCTTACAGCCCTCAACCATAGTCTTCATGGCTATGGTTTGAGAAGGCTATGGTTGAGAACCTGACTGCTTTCCATAGCTAAAACGACCTGGAATCAGTCTTCTCATGCATTCTACTGGAGGCCCAGGGTCCCTCAGATTTTTCTTTCTTCTTCTTTTTCTTTTGTTTTCCTTTCTTTCCTTTTGTTTTCTCTTCCTTTCATTTCTCCCCTTTTGGATACTCGTCAGTAGTCCCAGTCATGAGAGTGCTCAGAGCAGCCTCTAGCCTCTATGGCTTCTGAGTCACCTGGACCGGAGACAGTCAGGCTTTAACACCCCACCTGTAGATAGAAGATGCTCTTCTAAAAGCCCTGCAGTGTTCACCATGATTTTACACCCTGCATGTAGAAGGGAGACGTACCCCCATAAGCCTGTGGTGTCACCATTTTCATGGGTCTTCACGTTTTCAGCTATGCTATAAACCCTCACTCTGCCCGTGTCCTGCTGGCTCCACTGGCTCCACTTTTCCTCAAACTGTCCCTGACACTGCTACTGCTGTCAACAAGTTTGGTCAGATCCATGAGGAAGCTGCTTTCAATTCCAGTCTTTTGCTCCCCACCATGACTTGTAACATGGCAGCTTGGCAACAGGGCAAACCACACCTCTAGGTCACTCTTTCATACAATATGTAACAGCTGCCATTTTGACTAGGTCAGGTGACCAATATCTGCCATCTTTACTGGGGTGTTTTCTTTCCTGGTCCCGGTTTACTTATGTTTTTGTCTTTAAATTCCGCTTTTTGACTCTTACGCATGTGTTTTTTGTGTAGTGGCATGCCTTTGTTACGTCCCACCAAGAGCATCCATGTCACCCAATTCTTCTTCTCGGTGGATATGTGTGTGCATACATGTAACTTAAATCCATCTATATTTACTGTTAAATGTTATAATTGTTCATTACATCTCATTTCAGACTACAAAAACTGTAAGTCTCATGTTTGAAACTGATATGTACTTTTAAGTCTCATAAAAAATACATTATATTTAATCCAACCCTCATTTAAAATATATTAAGCTGTTCTCTACTATTGACAGGTCTGCCGTTAACCCTCTATGGCAAGCAGTTTTGTTCTTCTTTCTGTCTTTTTATGAGTGTAAATCTTACCTGTTAAGTTGAGAGCCAGTACTGTCAGCCTTAGACCCAACTCTGCAGGCAGATTCTAGGCTGTAGTTAAACCTGAGAAACAGCCCTCAACTGCTCAGAAATCTGGGGAATATGGCATTTAAATATTTAATTATTTGTAGACTTTTCATAACAAAAAGAGAAAGTTTGGCTTCTAGCAGCAACACTCCATTTCCTACAAAAAAGACAGAAGACAAATGGGCACAAACCAACATTCATTCGCACTTCGTTTTAACTCCCAAGTGCTGACCACCGGGTAATACTGCCTTTCTTCTAAACTGAAGATCTATAGACAATGGAAAGAATCTCTGAAATCGACAGTCTAGCTGCCAAGGTCAAGGTAGACTTGTCTTCCTACAGATTTCTTAGCCCACAGGATCTTCTGGAGCCTGGCAGGCCCTGCACTAAACAGAAAAAGACAAATATGACCCCAACGCGACCAAGGAGGACCATGAGAAGTAACTCTAGGTGCCTACCAAGTAAGTTCTCTGTTGTTTTTTAATCAAGAACTCCTCAGGTAAAATTTTGTCCTTCTCAAAGGTCTCTGATGCAGTTTGACAGCTGACAGGTTTTGTCATTTAAAAGGACAACCTCACCAAACAAATTTCAACAAAATACAAATACAAACTATTAAGGTGTATACCTACGTGTTATAAAGGAGTGAGTACAAATACACACTATAAAATTTTTCTCTCACACTGCCTTTCGTAGACTTAAAAATACTTTTCACTGTGCAAAAACATCTGTGACAATCATTCTGCTGCTGTCTAAAATTTCTGTTTTCACAAACCCAAAGAATTCTTGTGAGTTCTAGGGAGCCAAATTGAAAGATCCACCTTACACAGATCAGATACACTCCTCTCAATTCCCTGGTTCTAATTTTTTTTCCCTAAACTTAACTTGTCTTCTTTTCTGCCAATATCCTAAACAGGTATAAGAGACACCAGACATTTCCACACCACAAATATCAGACAGGAACAAAGAGAACAGATACTCTGGGATGTGACCAGCACCCAGCTTTCTCAGGTTCCCCCTCCCCAGATGATGCCAACAAATAAACAGGAAGCAGTCTTGAGAATCTGCTTCCCCAATTCCTTTAACCTGTTGTGACTAAACTCTTGCCTTTTATTATAAAAAAGAGATGGGAATTTATGGTCTGTCTTGTCCCTTTCAGAGACAAGCCATGCCCACTCCCTCCCCCATCAGCCCAGGCAAGCTGATCTTTAGTTTCCAGCCTGAGTCACTTCTTTTTTTCAGTCTCTCTTCCAAAGAGACAGCTTCTGTCTCTCTCATTCTCCCAACTTCTCCCATCCCCCCTCTGTTGCTCTCTATACATCCCTCTCTCTCCCCATCTCATTTTCTCCCCTTTTCCTTACCCCTCCATCACCCACTAAATAAATACGCACTTCCTCTGCATGGCAAGCCTGCCTGTATTGGTCTCTGTGCTTAGAACCTGCTGCCCCTCATCGCCCACAAGCCATTTGAGTGGTCTCTGCTTGGAACCCGACTGCCTTTGTGGCCTGCTGTGGTCTCAGGACTCACTGCTTGCTGCTGTGCAGGGACCTGCATTGTGGTCTCATGGCCTGCTACCCACTGCCTCTGCTTGGGGATCTACAGCATTTTTACTTAAACCAGTATAGAAAATGATACCAAACCT